CACAAAATGGCGGCTCGTTAATGATATTCATTGCTAAATGTACAGTGGTGGGAAAGGTCTAGAGTGAATGAGAACACATGTGCAAAAAATGACAAAATAAACATAACGACAAAGACAACAGAAAACCTAAAATACATAAATGAGTCCCTAACATTGCCAGCCTGACACAATTTTTGGTGCCAGTGATACGAGGGTCTCTGGTGAGGTTCGGACGTATGCGAGGTAGGCATCTGAGTTCTATTGCCCCATTGCTTTTAGTAGATGGACAGGAACTCCTGCCTCTGCAGCCACGGTGGCCACACCTATTTGAAAACTGTGGCTGGAGTATGATGCTTGCCCCACCCCACTATGGAGCAGAGCCTTCCTAACCAATTGAACAAAGGTTGATTTAAGTAAGGGGGAGCCGTCTACTCTCACGAACACAGGCCCCTGTCTAGCTGGGCGGACCACCATGTAGTTCTGAAGGGCAACCACTGGACAGATATCTGTTGATGTAGCACTGACGTGGACCTTGGTACCCATGCCCTTTTGGTCAGTTTTTGAAAAACGTAAACCAATTACCATCCATGATCGAGAGCCCACCCTATGGAAAAAAATGTCTGAATCGCCCACTGCCGGCACTTCTGTTCCTTTCGACAGGAGGAGTTCCCCTAATCTGAAGCAGCCAAAAAACGCAGTACATGCTACTGCCCACAGCAGGCGTGCGGTAAATTGGTCCTCCATCCCTGACTCCCATGCAACTTTGAGTTTTTCCATGATGTCTAGCGTGATTAGGAGCCTCCATCTGGGCGGAGTATCTCTGTTTTCTCTCTTCACCCCTTTAACCACGTAGGATAATTGTGGCCATGACTCACGAGAGACTACCCCCAACCTGGCCTCAACACTCAAATGCCAAAGGGCTGACAAATAGACCAAGATTGAACCGGGGCAAAGACCTTCCTGATATAGGTGGGTCACAAAACAGCACGCAGTTTGCTCAGTTATTGGGAGTGGGTCGATGCCGGCCCTGACACAGAACTGCACGTACCTCCTCTTTGCTGAGCCATAGGTGCTCTTTGTTCTTCCTGAAAGTCCCGCGACAAAAAGGTGTCTAGCCTCTGCATCCAGTCCTCTGATGTCCAAGCTGTCTCCCAATCCCACAACAGCTCGAGTAACTGTGCTGGCACTGTGCAAGGAGCCCGACTGGCCTGGGGGATGAGAGAAAAAAATAACTTTGAATTACCCCGAGACAAAACATTGGCCGCTCCATTAGAGCAGCCGGCAACATGCACTGCTACCAATTGAATTTTATGCAGAGCGGAGAGTAACGACCGAATTTTCAGCAAGTGGGCTAACAGAGAATCCTTTGCTGAACCCACTCGCAGACATGCGACCACTGCG